ATCCTTGACTATCATTTAAATCCCTGGGAACATATCTTGTTGGCCTGGCTTCATTCTTTTTGGCAGAGATGTGTGTGTGCACAAGTGCAAGGAGGAACTTGTGGATTAAGCATGACCATCAGAACCTACCCCTGTGAACATCTGGAAGGGCAGGTCTCAGTGAAGTGGGCGATGGTTGGGAAGAACTTCCAGTAATATCAACTAATACTATCCTGTTTAAGTTTTCTCTAACAGACAAAGCATAGAGAATGGGGATGAGAGGTGACTTGGCCCTGCCAAAGTTGGAATACTGAACAAATTGCTCACTATTCTTGTCTGTTATTTTATATGTACAAGGAAATAAAAATCTTTCTCCTTTAGCCTTGGCTGTATTGTAAATATACATAATGTGGTAACTAGGTCACGTAGGTGGTATCTTAAAAAGTCTCACGAGGTGGTATTATTATTATGAAAATGACAGCTCTGTCTTTATTGATGAGGTGTCGTCTTTCTTCCAGCTTGGCAAGAGTATATCGAGATTTTCAGGAACTCCTCATGAATGCACCAGAGAGCCAGCACCTTGGCCATGTTTGGACAGAGCTCCGCACCTTGTCTCAACTCATGGACACCCTCCGGACTCACCCTAAGAGAATTGCAGGTAAGGTGGGCTTCAGTGTTCTTAGTTTTCACTTGCCTCTCACTTGCGCCATATATCAGAGAGACTGAAGACACAGGAAAGCGTGAGGATATTTGCTGAAAAAAGATACTGAAGGAGGCAGGAAGGGGTGGGATGTAGAGGTGGCATGAGGGTCACCTGGGTGAGGACTCCTCTTCCTGCCAGCCTGGAAGTTAGGAAGTTGGGAAGGAGGACAGGCAGGGTCTTATCATAGGTGAGTCCAGGGACAGAAAGGAACGTGCCAGGAGAGCTTGTGCTCTGGGAAGTATGAGGCTAGGTTAAGTGTTGGAAGCAGGAAAGAGGAGTTTGCAGAGTAAGGTGAAGGTGTGGGTCAGCTTTCACAGAGTCCCAGAGAGCGAGGTAAACAGGAACATGCACAAGGAATGCCAAGTAGCATTAAGGGCTCAGAGAGATCAATGAGAGTATGTTTATCATGACATAAATACATAAGACCCTCTGATCTCTTCCAGTAATATTCGGCATCCTAGGCCTGAGGCAGAGCATGTGCAGAGTGGGAGGATGTGGGGCTGGGGACATGTAGGGGGTGCCACTAAAATCCAGGAGGCAAGGGGGTCGAGGGCAGTGATTGGACTACGCATGTCAGATCCAGGATGCAGAAGGACGGACAAGAAGCCAGGAGTATTAAAATTGTCCAGGGGAAAACAGAGGGGCAAGGAAATAGAGGTTTGGGGGGTTCCATGACTCTGCCTGTCTAAGGACTGAGAAAATGAGCAGGCTCTCTAAGAAAATGAGCAAGATGGACAGATTAATGGATGTAGTCAGAAAGTGAAGTACAGTGAATTCAAGATTTTAAAGGCAGACAGGAGCGCTGAGAGCAAGCCCCAAAGTGTGGCCAAGGTGGTTGAAGTGGAGCAGAGGTAAGGGTTTAGTTGATGAGGAGGTGAAGGAAATGAGAGACCAGGCTGGATGGGTCACAAGAACATTGAGGTCGTGCAGGTAGGAGAGCCGTTGGAGTCAGGAACAGTGAGGAGGAAGGGTCGGGGTGCCCACTCTCCTGTGTCTCTCCTCCCCACGGGAAAAACAAGAAACAAAAACATCCAACCCCAGTAACCACTCTGACATCTCTTCTTAAAGCACAAGTAGATGTTTTCCGGTTGTATCTGCAGTAAGTGGCCGGAGGGACTGGACATGGCAGAAACCTGGACACCAGCTGGAACCCATCCCTGGGAAGGGCAGATGAATAGCCGAGAGGAAGCAAGGCCTGCCAGGAACTCAGGGGTCACTGCAGTCTAGGGTTGGAGAAGAGGCTGCTGGGGTGGGGAAGACTATTCAGGGGGTGGGGTTCATAGTCTATTAAGGAAGCCAATTGGATCTGGGACACTTCTGCTCCAAGGATAGAGATGGGGGCGGGGGGAGGCAATGACTCTCAGCGATGACAGGGATGAGGAAGGGGTCTACCAAGGGAACCGAAGGGGCTGAATAGAGCAGCTCCTACTTAGGGTTCCCAACAAGAAAAGTGGGAGAATGGTACAAATCCGCCCAGGGAGCCTCACCTGGACAGCTTAGTCAACATCCAGCAGATGTTTGGCGAGTGTCTAGTGAGCCAGGTGCTGCCCTAGTCCCTAGGGACGGACTGCGTGCCTGCCCTCTCCCAGGCAGAAGTGGAAGGACTGAGTGCAGATGACCGCGCTGAGTGGAGGGGAGAGCCGGTGGAGCTTCCGGAGCTCAGGGCGGTCAAGGAGGGGACATTCCGATCCCCTCCCAGCGGCCACCCTCTGCCCTCTCTCCCCACGGTGCTCCAGGACAGGAGTATGTTCCGATGGGACAGTAAGATTACTTCGTTACATTCAAACTGTTTCAAAAATAGAAAAGTGTATACTTGATGTAGTAAAACCGAATTACGAACATTGTGTTCTTTGCTGCTTTGGGTAGAAGAGTTTACTCAGCTGGAGCTTGACTAAAGGATGAGCACAATTAGCATTTTAATCGTAAGGGGAAAAAAAAGGTGGGGGACACCAACCAGAAAGCATTTTTTCTAAGGTTGAACAGCAGAAGAGAACAAGGCCGTCCAGGCCCTAGAGTGACTGCCTACACTGCTCGCCCCGAGACTTTTCGTTTCGGTGTTCAGTCATGAGTCTAGCTGGGAGGAAGTATCAGGAAGTCGTTTCAAATCACAGTTTCTCTGTGGTTTTTACAGTGTGCATGTGAGAACCAAAATCACTACTTTCTAACCCCACAGCAGGATGAGTTGTGAATTGGTGCACAGGTGGTTCCATTTGCAGGCCCTCGGGCTGTGGGGGAAAATCTTTCAATGACAGCAGCTTTGGGGGTCTGGGGAGACCAGGTCAGGGAAGGCCAGCCAAAGCTCCCAAAGGAATTTGGGGCTGGGAACTGAGACTGTGCAGAACCCATGACCTAAACTGGCCATCAGAAGGAACAGGGGCCCATCCCCAAGTAAAATGTGGCACACAGTCTCTGAAGGAATTCCAGGCTGGGGACTGAAATCCACAGTCAGCACTGCAGACTATTTCAAAGTCGGTCCCAGAGTCACCCAGGGACATTGCTTGCTGGGGACATGGTTTGCTGCGAACATTGAATCCTCAGCCCAAAGTCGCAGTGGAGGGTTGAGTCTTTGAAAGTGAGGTGGGCGGCTGTCACTGGTGTGTGCTTTTGCCCATCAGTTCCCCAGTCACCTGGGAAAGTATGCTGATGGTTGACCATGCAGCATTTTCCTTTCTAGCAAACCTGTAGTACAGCATTCTCAACAGGGGAGGATTAATGGTAAAAGACAGACACGAAGCCCCCTCCCCTCTCGCCCCCGAGCAAGCTCTGCAGGTCTCTCAATCATCTTTAAACATCTTCTTCCCAGGAGCCTCATGCATTCTCCTGGCTTCCCTCCCACCTTAGCTCCCCTCAGCTCCGTGGGCCTCAGCAGCCCCCTCCCCCAGGCTCTAATCTTCCCAGGGGAAGAGAACAAGAAGAACCACATTTTAAACTAAATTTATTTTTCTTTCCTCAGGCCCCCAGCTCACATTTCTCCCTCGAGAGTCTAGTGAAGCCTCTGTCTGGTATCGGCCACTTCTTACATTTTGGGCCCCACACTCTCTCTACAGGGTGGCCCCCACACTCCCAGCTCCTACCCCCTCCTCCCTATGGGCCACAGCAGCCCAGTCACCTGGGCAGGACACTGTGCAACGCCAGGGCAAAACCACTTCCTGTCTCCCTCAATTTGTCCCTTTCCCCAGCAAAGTATTTTTATGTAAGGTCAGGTAAGTGAGTTAAAGAATAACAAAGAGATAAACAGTCAAATAGCTTCCTTATTCTTAACTCAAAACAACAGGTATTTATTGGGTGCCTCTTGCCAATCCATTTATGGAGGCCCTGATTCCATGTCAGGCTCTAATGCTGGGTGTCAGAGAGAGGAGACTTCAAAGGCTTACATCTTTGTGTCCGGCATTGCTAGGTATGAAGAGGGATATTAATAAAAATGGAATCCATAACCCCCTACTCACAAGAGATTGTGTGGGGGGGGCGGGGAGGGGAGGGGATGCTGGAGGCCAGAGTATATAATATAATGCCGTATATAAAGAAATGATTGGGAGAACAATTGAACTGGTGCCCCAGACAAAGGAAGAGAGGAAACAGGGGCTGAATTTGGAAGATGACAGACTCACAGTATTGAAAAGGAGGGAAGGCAAGAATTGATTAGAGCAGTCCCTTTCAGAACCCACCTCCTCCCTTGGGCTCACTCGTGTGTCAGATTCCCCTAAAGCCTCTGGGCTTTTCCTGTGCAAAGGATAGTGATACTGGGCTACCTGGCGGCACAACTCTAAAGGGCACCCATCCTGGAGAGAGAGGCGGCAGTGCGGTGACACCTCAGGACAGTCACCCTGTTCTAGCCTGTGATTGACGCATCCCCTTTCAAGAGGAAAGCGACGGCAACATTAATCTGGACAAGGCACAGTGCCGGGAGAGTCACAGCCTAAAAAATGGAGCAGAAGGCTGGCAAGCACTCAGGGCCTGGGCCTCTTGCCTGCCTCATGAGGGAAGAATCTGGGGAGGGAGGAGAAGGGCTCTGTGGTGTTAGGACCTGGAAGTCGCAGAGGGATTTGATGATTAAATTTCAAGAAGAACCAAGTGATAAGCAGTCAAACAGGCTCCCAGAGAAGTTGGGATGTAGACATGGGCATTTTCATGCAACCCAAATGCTTTCTCTTAATGTTGAAATGATTTCATAAATATCTGGGCCTGCAATCTTCTTCTCTGGCCAGCTCCTCATGAACTGTAACAGTGTTGGACCTGGAAGCAGGCAGAGGAAGTGGGCCCCTGGGTGTGACTCCCCTGGGAGGGGTCAGAATAATATGAATGCAGTCAGAACGAGTATTTGTTGAGCGTTCACTATTTTCAGGCCTGACAGCTAAGCACTTTGCATTCCTTGTCCCTTGTCACCCCCACGACAACTCTAAGAGGAAGATGTGGTAAGTGTTTACACAAAGAGGTTCAATCACCTGCCCTACAGTGACCTGAACTGTGAGCGGTCCTTTGTCCCTCTCCATGAGGAAGTTTCTGCTTCTCGCAGGTTTTGAGTGGAGCTGGAGAGAGCATGGCTGGGATGATTGGGGCATAAAATTGCAAGCCCAGCAATAGGCCATCCCCTTTCCCATTCGAACATCTTCTTGTCCAAAACAGCCCCATCTCTCTTTGTCCATGTCAATACCCTGAGCTTAGAGCCTTAACTGAGATGACAGAAATGCCAAGAAAGATCCTCTACCCCATGACAACTGCAGTGTGGACAGACTACATGTCTCTTCCAATCCCAGCAATTCTCAGTCTTAGCACTATTGGCATTTTGGACCAGATAGTTCTTTGTTTTGGAGGGAAAGGGTTGGTCCTGTGCACTGTGGGATGTTTAGCAGCATCCCTGTTCTCTACTCACTAGCATCTCCCCAGGTGTGACAACCAAAACTATCTCCAGCCATTGCCAAATATTCCCAGGGGGACAAAATTTCCCTGCTCCAGCTCCTCACCCCCATCACGCCGAAAGCCACTGTCCTTGACCAATCCTACAAAACATCTGACAATCTCACCCCTGACCCTGAGCTAACTTTTCCCACCTCCTGTGCCTTCTCATTAAACTTTGCTCAACTGCTTCAGCAGTAAATGTGACTGTGTTGGTGACAGCCTACTGGCAGGACCCCTGACCTCCAGGCATGCCCAGGGAACCCAAGAACAGAACCTTCCTCTGAGAATCAAGTTAGAAATGTTTCCAATCAATCTTAGATGTCATCTCTTTTTGACTTATCTCCCCTTCAGCATCCTGATTTTTTTCTCATTCATATGTAGGAAAAGGAATACGAATCCTGGATGTCCTAAAAGATGAAGAAACACTGACACTATTTCTCATGAAAAACATTGGCCTGTCTGACTCAGTTGTCCACCTTCTGGTCAACTCCCAGGTCCGACCAGAGCAGGTAGGTGCATGTCCTCCGTCAGTGGTCCCTAGAGGGGAGGGGTGAGCACGAACCCGAGAAAGGCAAGAAACACCTTGGCTTTTTTTCCTTCTTGCTTTCACATTCAGAACCCATGATTCATGCCACATATTCAGAAAAATATCTGGGGGTCACTTGAGATGATCAACATACCCCTTATAGGATTCTGAGGTACAAATCTTGGTAACACTACAACATCTCAGATTTTTAGGACTGTACGGAACCTTAGAGATCACGTGGCTCAACCTCCTCTTCTAGTTGAGGAAACTGGGGTTTCTTCTTGTATTCATTAAATATTTAGGGACATTTTAAATACTAGAATACAGTGTGAACAGTACTGGCAAGCCCTTGACTCCAGGAGCTTACGTCCAGTGGGGCGACAGGCAATAATCAAGGAAGCAAAGGATACCATGCATTTCTAAGTTGAGATGGGGGCTATGAGGAAAATCTAGCAGGATCAGGAGTTTAGGAGGGACTGGGGGGCGTGCGATGGGGGCAGTTTTAAATGAGATGGTCAACGAGGCCTTCCCGGGGTGGTGGCGGGGGCGGGGATGGTATTTGAGCAGACCTGACTGAAGAGAAGGAGGCCATGAAAATAACTGTGAGGAGAGTTCCAGGTCGAGAAACCAGCAGTGCAGAGAGTCTGCGTGTGCTGAGGTTACTGCTCCCAGTTACAGAACCTGGTAACGGCAGCAGGCAGAGCAAACCTTTGATTTCTTGCACCATTTCTTCTCCATGGCAGGCAAACTCCTTCCTCTATTCTGACCTAATCCACGCCCCACCTCCCCCATCTATTTCATCTACATCTCATACTCTCTTATATTTGTTCAGAGCATTTTTAGTACTAACATAGGACTTTCACATCTTTTAGCTGTGTGTTCTTCACATGAATCCTGAGATGGGTCTAACAGATGGGAGAAACTGAGGTGGCTGAGTGATTTGTGTGAGGCTATAGAGCTAAATATTGTCAGAACCACAGTGGAATCCAGGTCTTCTCATTCCTTACATCCAGTTCAGTGGTTTTCAGGGTCCCAGAGCAGCAAGGACTGGGAGCTGGTTCACAATGCAAATTCTCAGGCCCCACTCCAGACCGGCCAGCAATCTGTGTGTTTTAATCAGCCCTCCAGGTGATTCTGATAGGCTCAGGGGTGAGAACTGCTACTCTGGGTTGGCGCCTTACAGGCTCCTGGCCCAGCATCCTAGGTGTGTGGGCTCCTACTGGGATGAAGTCAGTGAGAATGTAGGGTGAGCAGCAGCTTAGAGCGCAGATGCCCTCCCACCTCTCCTGGCCAGGTCTGCACCTCCCCCAGACTCCGGGGGAGACGAGACATAAACAGAATTTCAGGGCCTGTTGTCAGTCCTGAGATAAAGGTCTGCACAGGGTGCCCCTGATCCCAGAGGAGGGAGGGGCACCCCACCCGCCTGATTGGGGCTGGCTCTGTTGAAGGAGGTTTTCAAGCACAGAAGCGAAGAAGCCCATACCTGCTTTTCTGGCTTCTCAGACCCTGAGGTTTTCACGGAAGCTAGAGGAGAGGAACTGAGGGTCAGCCCCAGGCGGCATGTCAGGCCCCTTGGAGCATGGCGGCCGCAGTACCCAGGCCTTGGCTGCAGTGGGCTCCTGGTGGGGCCCTTGGAGTCAGGCCTGGCTGCTTTGCTCCACTTCCCCTCCTATCCCCACCGGAGGGGTGTGGTGGCAGCAGCATCAATTGCTCATTTTCTCCTCTGCTTTCTCTTCAGCTCATAAAACTCAAGTCCTGGAAATGCCTGTGATGACTTCCAGTTGGTAATAAAAGGGAGATGGAGATAAGGACAGGAATTTAGGGGAAATTTCTTTCCAGTTCCTCAGTGACGTGACATTTGATTCTCTAGTTGCTGTGCTACTGGCATCAAGGCCGAGGACTTTCATGTGGGGAGAAAGGACCAGGATCACCCAGTTGAGACTTTATTTAGTGATTAGCAGATGCTTCCCTGACCAGCAAACCTCAGATCTTAACAGGGAGCCTAGAGCTTCCACACTTGCTGAGGTCATTCCTGTTGACCCAGCTCCCTCTGCGCCCCGTGCCCTCCTTCCCAGCCTGGTTGCCTTGTGTGCCTGCCTCTCCCCCCCCCCCCCCCCTCTCTCTCTCTCTCTCTCTCTCTCTCTCTCTCTCTCTCTCTCTCTTCCTCTCTTTGTCTCTCTCCTTGTCTCTGTCTCTCTCTGTCTCTCTCTTTCTCTGTTTCTCTCTCTCTCTCTTTGTCTCTCTCTGTTCTCTCTTTGTGTGTGTCTCTCTGTCTTCTCTCTCTCTCTGTCTCTCTCTCTCTCTCTCTTTGTCTCTCTCTGTTCTCTGTGTGTGTGTGTCTCTCTGTCTCTGTCTCTCAATCTGGGTCTCAGTCTCTATCCAACTCCGAGGCTCCTTAACAGCACCATCCGCTAGAACCTTCTTCTACGATGGCAATGTTCTCTTTCTATGCTGTCTAACACCATAGCCACTAGCCATATGTGGCAGGTAAGCACTTGAAATAGGGCTAGTGCAGCTGAAGAACTAAATTTTAAATGTAATTTAAGTTTAATTACTTTAAATTTAAATAGCCACATGTGGCTTACAGCTCTCTAATTGATCATCTTCAACAAACATAGAATTTTGTTCTTTGCCATGAGAACTAGATACCTTTCCTGGTCCTTTCTGCCTGGTGTCTGAGCACAGCTCAGAAGGGAATTACATTACCCCGCCTCTTTCAATGTCTAGGGAATTATTAGACAATGGAAGTAGTACAGTTTTCTGGTCCGTCCCTAATCCCACCTTCCACCCCCAGACCTGTAAACTCCTGGACATCCTTCGAAGCTCAGCTCAAATGTCACCTCCTCTGTTAAATCATTCCTAAATCCTCCTTTCTTTGTCCTAACCCCTCCTTCTGCCCTGCTAGACAGAGCTAACAGGTAATGGTTAAGCATGAGCTGTAGGTTCAAATCTCAGCAAGGCCACACAGTTAACTGTGTGACCTCCAGCAAGTTAATTCACCACTCTGTGCCCCTGTTTCCATTTGTAAAGTGGAGATTTGAAAAAATGCCTACCATATATGGTTGTCGTGGGGGTTAAAAGAATTAATCTATGTAAAACACTTGGAAAAGTGCCTGGCACACAGTAAATGCTCAGTAAATACTAGCTATTCTTATCCCCACTCTTCTATGCTCTGGTTTGACTATGCTCAATCTGGAATTTACTGTTACTTATTTACCTGTGTTTCCAGCTAGCCAGGGAGCTCCCTGGAAAGCAGAAAACTCACTTTATTCTCTCTGTATCCCCAAGAACTACCCTAGTCCCTGCACAGTGGGAACTCAGTGAGTGAGCACTGAATGAATGACTGACTGAGTGAAGGAATGAGCTGGGGCCCTTTGTGGTGTCCCAGGTTTCTCAATAGCCTGTTGTGTAACCTTCTCAAGTCACCTAACCCCTTCCCCGTCACTTTTCTCCCCTGACATATTAGAGGTTTGGACAAAATTAGCTCATTAGTTCCCTTAACCTCAAAATGTTTCAGACTCTGGAATTAGGGTGGGGGTAGGATTTTGCTTGGCAATAAGAAGTAAAATGTGGGAAAAACAGGAAGGCTCTGCTGGAATATGCACCTAGTGATGGTTCCCTGAGATTGATGGAGTCCACACCAACCCAGTGTGGGCCGTGACCAGTGCCTCGTTTAAGAACCAGGCTTCCATCTGTGGCCCAGACAGTCTCCATGCAGCGGGTAGCAGAGCCTGGGCCTACTATGCTTTCCAGCCTAGAGGGCTATGTGATTGGAAGCCATGGGGAGATTTCAGAAGCCAGGGAAGCTCATGAACCTGTTCACGGTACTCAGGGTCTTGCCCTCTGCTTGGCCTTCAGAACTCTAAGAGGTCAGTTACTGTGCTAGCTGATCAAGGATACTTGGCCAGTGTTGAGACCCCCTTAACCTCTGGAGGCCATTGTAGGGATTATGGTTAAAGAGTCACTGTCCATGAACTCCACAGGAACTGTAGCATGTGGGGTATCCAAGGGTTAGGGTCATCCGATAAAATACAGAATGCCTAGTTTAATTTGAATTTCAAATAAATTTTTAACATATGTATGTCTCATTTGGACTATTTGGGACATACTTATACTAAAAATTGTTCATTGTTTATCTGAAATTCAATTTTAACTGGACGTCCAGTGTTTTTACTTGCTAAATCTGGTGAGAAAGGAGGGGGCCGATTATTCTCCATCACTCCAAATGCATTCTAGCCACACCCCCACGTCAGCTTCAGGGAGTAGGTACTGATATCACCTTAGCATTGTGTACTAAGAAGGGAATCTCTCAAATTTTAAATGGCTCTCTAATAAAATGAAGCTTGAGAGTGTATTAGTTTTCTGTTGCTGCTATACTATAACAAATTACCGTAAACTTGATGGCTTAAAACAACAAAAATTTATTATCTTCTGGTTCTAGAGGTCAGAAGTCTGAAAGTCAAGGTGTTGACAAGGCTATGTTCCTTACTGGGGGGCGAGGTTTAGAGGGAAATCCATTTTCCAGTTTTCAGAGACCCTCCACATCCTTTGGCTTCCTTTTATTTTCAAGGCCAGCTGTGGCTAGTTATATCTTCCTCACGTCACATTACTCTTGACATTGATTCTTCTGCCTCCCTCTTCCACAACTGAAAGACCCTTGAGATTACATTGGGTCCACCCGGATAATCCAAAATAATGTCCTTATTTTAAAGTCAGCTGATTAGCAACCTTAATTTCATCTGTAATCTTAAGCCCCCTTGCCATGCAACGTAATGCATTTACAGGTACTGTGGGTGAAGATGTGGACATCTTTGGGGGATCAGTATCCTCCTGTGACAGGCAGGCTTCCAGTGTCGCTTCTCCTTCTTGCAGTTTGCTCATGGAGTCCCAGACCTGGTGCTGAAGGACATCGCCTGCAGTGAGGCCCTCCTGGAGCGCTTCATAATCTTCAGCCAGAGACGTGGAGCACAGACAGTACGTGATGCCATGTGCTCCCTCTCCCAGGGCACCTTACAGTGGGTGGAAGACACTCTGTATGCCAACGTGGACTTCTTCAAGCTCTTCCGTGTGGTAAGCGAGGAACTGAACTGCTTGCCCCTTGGAAGGTAATTCCTGAGACAGCTGGACCTGGTTCCAGGCCATCAGGGACCTGTGAATTGAGAGTTGGGGAGATCGTAAGCTTGGTGTTCAAGACAATTCTTGAGAAAGCTCCAGGCTCCAAAGGCCCAAGGAATCTTGACTGATAGCATCTTTAAAGGAAAAAGAGGCCTGGTTTGACTCTCTGCCCCACCATATTTTAGCTAGTTGGTCATGGGCAAGATATGGCCCCTGGCTCCATCACTCACCTATAAAACAAATATAGCACCTTATGGAGTGGTAGGAAAAGATACATGAAAAAATATATGCAAAGCGTTTAATAAATAAGAGCTTCACTCTCTCTCCTCTGAGTCTGCTCTAGACCGCAAAGTTTGTTGTTTCTGGGTAGAAAAAAAAATAACAAAGAAAATTTCATAGTCTCAAAAATTTGGATCTAGTTCAACCCTGTGTTGCATCCCAGACATACTTTTTGGGGACCTGAAATCTCTTTTGCTAGAGGATAAGATGAGAGGGAATTATGTAAAAGAGGGGCAGAGCAGCTGTTCTCATACCTCAGAGTATATGAAAATCATCGGAGAAGCTGGTAAAATATACAAATTCCAAATTTCCACCCCCAGAGACTAATTCAGGTGATTCTGATGTAGGTCATGGTAGGGCATGCTTTAAGAAACACTCAAAATTAGAATCCTTCAGAGAAAGTGACATATATAATGCTTCTAACATTAAATCATGGTTTTTTTCGTGTGCCTACATTTTAGTTTCTAGAACTGCGTTATGGGGAATGTCAGTCACTGAGAGCTTGGTTGAGAAATTTGTGTTTTGCCTTTTTATACTCTCTCTCAAGTCCCAGAAAACCTTCTCTCAGCTCATTTTAAAAGGCAAGCCGAAGGCTTTTTTAAGTGAAACAACAAAAAAAACCAAGACCTCTCAGTTTCTGGAAGAGTTCACACTTTGCCTCTTTCAAAGTTTGACTTTCTCTTAATGTTACTCTATGATGTTCCCAGCTCATCGGTATGGGGCTCCACAGTGGTAAGAGGGATTGGCACCTACAGAAGCCACCACCACTGAGAACCCAGGACCACAGAAAAGGTCTCTCAGCTCCCCATGCTGCAGGGAGAATAAAAAGCCATGTGGTTCAAACTTCTCTGTCCAAAGTTTTTAAAAAAATGATTTTAGACACACTCCTTGGTTTGTTTTCAGAATCAGACAGAAGGATGAGTAAGATGATAAAGACCTCCTATCATATACAGCTGGGAGAACAGTGCTTGTGTTTGCAGAGCTGTTGGAGGTTCCCTGGGCACCTGGGGTCGTGCGATCCTCTGGTCGCTGGAGAAGGAGCAGAGTCTTGTGTCATTTTTTGAAGGACTCTGGCTGCTAGTATAGGTAAATGCACTTGTGGGGCATGACCAGCAATTCTGGGGTGACAGTTCTAGAAATAACAGGATAAAGGGGGACCTAGGTAAACTGTTCATTAGGGGCTGAACCCAAACTCAGGCCTCCGGCTTCAGAATATTTATCAGAAAAGATGGACCAGAAAGGTCCATCTTTCTGGTCCATCTTTTCTGATAAATATTCTGCTCCGGCAAGTACTAGAGTTAAGAAACCAGAGGAGAACTTTAACCAGTCACCCTCACTGACCTGAGATAGGTTCTGCACGCCCACTCACCATCCCTGTACGCATGTCCACACACTTAAACTTTAACTGGATGCCCGCAAGGCTCCAGGCATGTGCTGAGGCCAAGGCGCCAGGCATGCCCCTCCCGCCCTCACTGAACTCTCAGTTAGCCCAGACCAGCAAACAGACCATGTCCCAGCAGCGCAGCTTAGAAATGCCAACACCGACAATATTGGGGCCCCAGATCAATGATTTCCAGCGGGGATGCACATTGAATTACCTGGGGGGCTTTTAAGGACTGTGAATGCCCGGCTCCCACCCACCGTGATTCTGACTCAGTTGGCCTTTAGTATTTTTCAGAGCTTCCCAAGATCATTTCAATGTCCAGCCAGGACTGAGAATTACTGACCTAGAACACAGGAGTTTGATTTACAGTCCTAATCAACCTCTGTAGAGCAAGCATAATAATACTACTACCCCCAAGTGTCTCTAAGGCTTCGAAGCACTTTCATTTGATCCCCCATAAGACCAGGGTGCTGTGGAGACACATCATCTCTTCCATTCTCTTTATGAAGTTGGCGAGTGGCCCCAGAGACTGGCTAGAATGAAACTAGTTGGAGAAGGGCCTGGAGGACACCCCCTACCCGCCATCTTCTTGCTCTTGCTCATCTCTACGGGGAAAGGCCGGACCAAGACAGGACACATGGGACCCTAGCAAAGAGGACAAACACCTTGATTGGTGCTCTTCAAATGTGCTTTTCCATTCGACAAATGGACGAAGTGGCTAAACATCAAAAAAAAAAAAAAAAAATTACTAATAAGGAAACCTAAAATAAATTACAGCATTAAGGCAGGATTTTTGCTTTTATTGCTCCCTTTATTGCTCCTATCAGTGTTTTTAGAACAACCTTGAGGCAGCACAGAAAGGCTCAGGGCAGAGCCCAGTCCTCCCTCCAACTCTGAGAGGGGCGTCGGGGAGGCAGGGGCTGCTTCGAGGCCAGGGGCGGGGCCTCCCTGGGATAAGACTGTTATTGCAGCTGGTTGGCAGGCAGCCACGCAGAGCGCCAGTGCAGGGAATGCTGGGCCTTCTGTTCCGCCGGGCTGTTTCTCATAGCACGTAGGCCAGTGTATAAATAAGGTTTTAGTAAACGCCAAGTCAGTGCTCATTAACAAAGAAAGAGGGACCAATCCCAGTAAACTACTGTGACGCTACCTACCCCTGTTGTGTAAGGAGCTGGGTGTGTGTGTGTGTGTGTGTGTGTGTGTGTAGCCAATGAGAGCTCAACTTCCAGCCCCAGGAATTGGGGAGCTGAGAGAATCGGAGAGAGGTTTTGGGGGTTAGCACCAACTGGGACCAGCTGTGTTTTTCCTCGGCCCCTTGGAGTCAGAGTAAGTGTTGTCATTTTCAGATAATCCAAATGCAAGACCATGGCCTTACTCCACCCCACCCATCCCCATAAGGACACTCAAGCACACGAGCACACACACACATGAATGCGCACACACGCATATCGAATGTCCAGTGACCTAGGTGGGCTGGGAAAGAAATATGCAGCCAGGTGGCTGGATTTCCTCCAGAGGGATTGAGCCCCTCGAGGTTTCACCTCAGTTGAGAGCTGAAAAAGTCTTGTCTTCACCTGTGGTCTTACCACCCCAAGCTTGTAACCCAGGAACTGAGACCTGGGCCCATAGTGCCAGGACTGCCTAAAACGTTTCACACCTCATAAAAAATGACGTGTCGGTTTTGGGTGAGGGGTTGGGATGTTTCCCATCTGATTTGCCCGGAGGTAAGCATGCCCCTTTTCCTCCTTCTCCTCCTTCTAGATCCTTCCTGTTTTCTCTCGACTCTGGTGCACAGCTTTGAAATCTTGCTGAGAAGCAAATCTGTCCCTTCTGTTCTGATGTTTATTTGTGGAAGTTCAGCGGGGAACTGAGGCGGGTGCCAAGACCTGCCACACTGCTGGGAAATCTGATTTTCCCTCCCTTCCCCCCTCTCGATGGTTGTTGATAGAGGAAATCTGGCTTCCCCGGCATTTTGGCCCATGGTTTTCCCCTTTGCAGCTGCTTCCAGGGCGGCATGATTCAGCTTTCTTTCCTTCCCCTCAACTATTACTCTGTCACGGTTTTTAATTTTCTGACTTCATTTTGCCCGTGTCTCTTTGACTACGGAGTGGCTGAACACTGCGTTCTGGGGAAGAAAGGACCCAGTCTTGGGGGTCCTGACTCCATGCTCCTTTCAATGACCTGCTTTGTTCTTGGCTCTGCGTCCTAAATTCCTGAATCATGGGGAATAAATGTGGGTGGACTCCACGCTGCCCAGGGTGAGCTGGCTGTGGTTTCTGCTCTCTGTGATGGTTGAAGTTTGTTAAGTATCAACTCTGTGTTTCAATTTTCGAATGATACTGCTGTGTCAAAATTCTCTGGAAAAGCCCGCATCTCCAGGATTTTACGCTGACGTCCCATTGATGACTTAACTTTATGGTTTCCTCTCCCTTCCGATTTCTAAATCTTTGGTCTGTCAACTTTCTCCCACTTCGTGTCATGCATGGTTTTGGGAGGGAGGAAGAGAAAGGAGTGATGCCCAGTGCCAGCAGCATGCGGGGGTGGGGGCGGGATAGAGGTGGGGGCAGGGAGGGAGGGCCATTAGACAAAAACACAGTCAGAAAATATTTTTTTAAAAAATTATTAAGCCACAGCAAGCATATTTGATTTACAGCATTAGTATTTGTTTCTGCCTACTGCTACAAAACTGTGTCTATTACGATCAAAATCTCCCCTGGGTCAACAGATTTCAATAAAGAAATAAAAAGGCAATAGGAGGAAGGAATATTAATGTACATTAGCTATGGGCTTGATTGTCTTGGGCCTGCCTTGACTTCTTTTAGGCTCCGGGCATACAGTAGGTCAGAGCTTATTTTTGTGACAGATCATGTGTTGTTTTTATGAATTTAAAAAGAAACAAGTACTGAGAGGTCAAAACTGAAGTCACTCAGGTCACTAGCAGGCCCATGTGAAGGCTGCTCTTAGGATAATGGGTCCTGGGGTCCTGGCCTTTATTCAGTAGATATAGTTTGAGCACCAGCTTATTAGGTAGGCATCAGGTTCTCTCCACGGTAAACGGGTTTTAAGAAAGATTTTAACCTCTTATATTTCTTATCTCTATATAAGAGTAGTTCTTAACCTTTTTATGGCTTAGGACTACCTTTGAGAATCTGACAACAGCTCTAAACCTTTTCCCTAGAGAAATATAAGTTCACATAAGAGGTGTGTCTCATGGAACCTATGAAGGCAGATGCCAGGTTAAGAGCTTTTCCATTAAAATTTCTTTCCTGCCTACCATTAATACATGTTCTTTTCT